GCGGGCTCAGGCAATCCACTCACCTCAGCCTCCCAAAGGCACGGGATTACAGGCTGAGCCACAGAGCCCGGCTAGTATCCTAATTTTTTTTGCCTGTGAGATGGTAGGTTTTATTGTGAAATTTTTAGATTCCTTTCAGATATAGAAGTCTGTGATGATACTCCCTTTCTTAAAAATCTTCCTGTTTACTCTTTGGAAGAGCTTTTAGGTCACATTCAAAATGGTGCAAGACTCTGCTGATTCTTTGTAGTTCCTATTTAGAATCTTAGTAACCCTGTTCAGGATTTTCCATTCTTGTGAGAAAGTTGTTTAAATCTCAGAGATGTGTCTTCACTAAGTGATCCCTTGAGAAGGCACAGAGAACTTTCCTTCCTCTGTTCTATTCTTAATTTATTTGTTTCTGTTCTTCTGTAAACAGTGAAGTGGATGAAAGTTGGTGTGTCATATGGTTTATGTTTGCTTACAAGTGTTTGTCGAGTCCTGGGTTCCATTTATGTCCAAAGTGACAGAGTCTTGAGACTTGGCATGTGTCAAGCCATGGTTGTCATTTGCAACTATTGCCTGATAGGATGGCACACAGCTTTGGTGAAACAACTTCAAGATTGAATATGGAATCTCCAAATGTTGGAACCTTTTTACAGCAAAGTTGCTTGAGCATATAAAATAAGTGGTATTGAGTGTAGCTGAGCAAGTGAGCATAAATTCCTGAGTATTATTTAGAGATTATACAAATTTAAGAGAGGACTATTATTCACATATTGATAAAGAATAATTGCCATGTGCCAAAAAGAATAAGAAGCTGGGAGTTCTTGGGCTGATATTTCATTCTGTTAATATCTGTAATGCTAGCTGCCAGGTTTGATTGGTCTGCTGCTTTATTTTTCTGAATTTCAGTTTCTTCCTTTGTGAAATAAGGAGGTTGGATTAGCCTTCCTCTTTGATCCTTGTTGCTCTAAACTTCTTTCCATATATAATTGTGCTTTTGTTTTGGAAACATACTCATTCATCCACCATCAATAGGAAATCAGCCTGTTCTTCCAAATATGTGAACTTTCTATGTGACAAAAGTTTATCACCTATCACTTTAAAAGTCCCTACTAAGTGTCATGCACTGTTACCTCTAGTTTTTTTGTTTTGTTTTGTTTTTAGTGGGTAATATCCTATTTACAGAAGAGGAATAGGCTCAAAGTTTAAGTACTTGCCCTTCAAACTGTAGTTTATAGAAAAACCAGGATGTAAGTTGATGCCATTCTAGAGTTCACATTCATTATTATTATTGGTTACTTTTTAAAGCATAATTCTCATTAGCAGTAACTTCTTTTGGCTTCAAATATTGTGGGTAGATGTATTTGAAAACATGCCATTCATGCAACAAATACACTGCAGTTCTTAACATTTTCCTAGTTGTGAATTTCCATCAGGAGAGTTGGGTGATGCTGGGACTTCTAGTTTGGCGAATACAAAAACATGGCATGAGTTCCAGACACGATTTAGCATTTCTGTATCCATAGCAGACATGACTAACCAATTTCATTTCTGTCCCCTGGTGATCCCAGAAATGGCCATAAAGTCAATTGATTGATGTTGGCATATGAGGTTAATCCTATTTTTTATTCTTGTTTAAATCTTTTCCTTTGATTTCACTGTGGACAGAATATCACACTTACATGAGAAAGCCAGGAATGAAAGTAACAATAATAATATTTTGTATCTATTAAGCGCTTCTTGAGTGTCAGGAACTGTTCTTAAAAGGTATTATCTTATTTAATCAGCCCCGCAACTCTGGACTAGCTACATTGCTGTTCCTTATTTTACAGGTGAGAAACAGACGGCCCAAAGTGATAAAGTACATTTCCCAAGGGTTGCGTCGTTCATAAATAGCAAACTCGGTCTGTCTTTCTCTAATGCTTGTTCTCTTTGCTGTGAGATGGTCTCTTACAGTAAAAGAAAAATTCAAAATGCAGGCTTGAGACAAGTGCAGGAATCATCTGATGCCTAATTTTGCTCATTCAACTGTTTCTCTTTCTGCTTTTCTGTTTAAAATTGCAAGTTGTACCAAGGTAAGCAACCTTCTGGTTTTAAGGAAGGTATTACTATGACCCTAATATCTTATTAGATATTGTGACTCTAAAGTATCTTATTAGTTGCCCTTCTCTTTAGAAATAAAAAGACTATTAGGTATCACTTAAAGGCAAAGTACTTCTTTCTTTGGGGATTTTAAGATTTCCTGATGATTTCTTACTGCTACTTACTTATATTCCTGCCTCATAACTCTCCTTCTCACCAATCCATTTATGGTCCTTTTTGATAACTGACTTTTATAATTGCTTCCCCCTTGGCTGGCTTGACTCTTTTGTTGGTGCTGATTCAGTGAAATGTTTCATACCATTGTTTTGAGCTAATATAATGTAGATGTTCCTTTTCTTTCTTTCCTTTTTTTTTTTTTTTTTTTTGAGTTGGAGTCTCACTCGTCGCCCAGACTGGAGTGCAGTGGCCGCTCCCGGCCACCGCAGCCTCGACCTGCTGGGCTCCGGCGATCCTTCTACCTCAGCCTTCCGAGTAGCCGGAATTACAGGCATGCGCTACCACGCCCAGCCGATTTTTTGATTTATTGTAGAGATGAGGTGTCGCTGCCCAGGCAGGTCTCGAACCCGTGGGCTCAGGCAATCCACTCACCTCAGCCTCCCAAAGGCGTGGGATTACAGGCTGAGCCACCGAGCCCTTTTCAAATCACGATTAAATGTAACTTTTGGTTTAAAATGAGACCATTTTGCAAAAGTGTTAGTTGAGGTATCAAAGCACCTCCAACTAATGTCATTACTAGTTTTTGTAATACTTGGTATTTATTAGCCATTTAAAAACATTGATAGCTAATGTTATATACAAAGAATTTAATCTTTCTGGAATGTTAATGCATCAGTGTTTCATTTTAGAGGAAAGAAGAGAGCTTGGACCATTTGGTTTTATTATAAATATTTCCATTTGTAAAGCGGCATTCGTTAAGGAAGACATTTCCTAAAGTTTAAGTTTCTGGGAGATTATAGGGAAGCCTTATATAAACATCTACCTGTTATCCAGATAGGCATGTGTCTGATGAGGCTGAAGCTGAAATTGCTTTATTTTTTAATGATTTTTTTTCTTGACTCATCTGAATATTTCTTCATGCAGAAATCACCTATTGTATATATATTCTGATAAGGAAGATGCCACCAAGTGGCAAATAAAATGTGTGAATTTTATTCTTTTGGTAATTAGCTTGAAGGGGTGATTAAGTCATCATCATCTTTTATGCTCCTTCTTTATCTGGAAGCAAGTGTGGAAGAAGTTTCTATTTTCCAGTCCCTGCTGGAAGCCTACACTTTTACATTATTTGTCATAATGCTTTACTGAATGTTGAGTGTCTTGATGGCTACTCTCTTTTGTTGCAGGATGTTTCATTCAGGTGGAATGTGGAGCTGCCACTGGAAATGGAAGCCAAGTCCCCTTCTAATCTTATTTGCTTTCTATACTATATGTGTTCCTCACTCAGGTAAGACTCTTTCTCTTTCAGACTCTGAATTTAATAATGATTACATTGTCTGCAGTATAATGTACTTTTTAAAGTTACCTAACCTTAATTCGTTGCCTTTCCCCCCCATTTTTGTTCTTATAGGGTTTTTTCTTATGATCTCTCTATCCTCTTTGAATTCTGTAAAAATTCTTTTACTTTGATTGTTGTTTTATTTCTAATGAGTTTATTATTTTAATCTTTGCTCTTTTTTAAAAATTTTATTTATTTAGTCCATATTGAGTGATGAGATAACTACATAAACAGCCTTTAAAAAGTGTTAGCTGTTTCCTCTACTATTGAATAAATATACAAGACTTAATTCTCTTTTCAAGTGTTCATATAGTTATTTATGGAAAGTAAAGACTATGCAATTTATTTAGTTTACTTGATATGGAAAGGTTAATTTTAACTGCAGTTTTTTGGAATTAAAACGTTTATTTTTTTTTGTTATCACAGTTTTTTTCTGAACTTTGACATAAGAGCCTTCTGTTGTTGAAAACTAAATTTTCTATTCACATATATATAGAAAAAATATAAAATTTTCTATAAACTTTCCATGAATAAGCCAACCAGGTACCAAGTAATATGAATGACGTTTAAAAGTAAACTCTTTCTTTAGTATCTGGTTTTGTCACTGAAATGAGCAAAATCTTAAGTCCGTTCTGTTTTACTCTTTGTTTTCCCCTTGTGTATTTATTCATCTTAATATATTTTCCTTTAGAATAAAACTAACATTTCAAGAAAATCATTTTTGATGTCTGATATATTTATTACTTGGGGTTTCATCAAGATCTACAAATTTTATACTTATATCTATATTATTATAAAAATACTCTTAAAGAATCATGATTATAGATTATATACTAAAATTGCTTATTTATTGATCAGGACATTCAACTTGTATTTAAAATGTAAACACTTTTTTTTTTTTCAAGCCATCAAATAAGAGTTTCAGCTACTTGAAAAATCCCTGGCACTTGTTTAATGACTTCAAAACAAAACTGATCTTTCAGTGAACTTTTGTATTTGCTAGAATTTCATTATAAAGTCACTCTTTCTGTTACTAATTATTTCCAGAAAGAGGCAACAAACTTGTAAAGAGATTGGAAAATTAAATGTATATCAGATTTTATGATGTATGGTATTGAACGGTTTGTAACTTTCATAAGTGATTCTTATAAAATTTAACAATTTTTTAAAAGTGATTCTCCAAGAACCAACTATCTGATGCATGATAAATTATGAGATTAAAATTAGTTGAAGTCTATTTACTTCCATTTTTGTTAGGTCATGCATTTATATATTTTTAGGGCTTCTTTAAAAATATTTGTACCTTTTATTTTAGATGTCAAATTTGTACCTTTTATTTTAGATGTCAATGTTTTAGTATATGCACATTCTTGAATTTTAATAATTTGAATAAATGAAATGAAACACATGTTTTTATAATAATTAAAAGAAATCAACTTGGCTGGGACAAGGCCAAGGCAAGAGAATCACCTAGGGTGCAAAATTTAAGGAGGTGCTCATTCTTAGGGTCATGGGAATCAAAGTATTTAAATCTGTTAAGTTACTCTCTCAAACAAGATTAAAATTTTTTTTTCTTTCATTACCCAACTCTTTGTGTGCATCAAATAAAGTTTTTTTGACAGGCAATTTCCTGTGTTCACTCATGAAGCCAAAATGTTTTGTATCTGTATCTCTCTAATCATTCATTACTCATGTAAAGTGTCACCACCTCACACATGACTATCTAAACTTACAAAAATACTTTAGGGGTTATTATTGATATTTTAAAATAAAATTTCTGCCTCACAAGTTACCTCAGCATGTGATTCCTTCAAATGAACTAACAAGTCATTTAACATAATGCATATTACAACTTCAGACATAGCTAATTTAGAAATCTTATTTTTTGCATAAATCAAGGTGTAATACCACTATATTTTTTAAGACTATTTAGTACTTAACTGTGGTATTATAGCTCTATTTACGCATTTGCTGACTTTTTTTTGCTTCTTTGAATGCCCCCAGGTGATCTCAAGTCCAGTTGCTTTAAATAGAATCTTGACCAATTTTTCCTAAATCTGTATGGTTAGTCCTGACCCCTTCCTGGACCCTACAGTCACCTCTTGGGTTTCTGATCCTCATCTACCCTTGGATATATCTACCCTTGGCTTTAAACTTCATGTGTGTAAACAGGACTCCAGGTTCCTCTGTCCCAAAAATCTTCTTGTCCTTTAGTCTTTCCAATCTATCCTTCTACTGTTTTCTCCCACTCTCACTATTTTCTAGACACGTTGGCCTTTCTTTTCCTTGACTATTCCTTCCTAGTATGCTCTTCTCTGTAATCTATACATGCCTCTTTCTTTTTGACACTCATATCTCAGTTTGATTTTTACTACCTCAGATAATCCTTTCCAATCCCTCAATTCAAAGGAGCCCTACTGGATCACATCATATCCTTAGTGATAATATATGTAGAGTTTGGTTATTCTGAGTGTTAATGCTTTGTTAATTTAACTGTGATAGCTAAATTAAGGGATAGGCAAGCCTTTTTTGATTGTTAAAGTTGACACTTAGTTCAGATGATTAAAAATTAGAATCCTATAGTTTAATTCTAATAACACCCACAGCTTAATTAATATAATATAATTACAATGTTAAGTTTCCTAGTAGGTAAGTTAACATTTGTGCTTTCATGGGACACTTACAAAACAAATAATATTACAAGGTTTATGTCTCTCCAGATTTAAAATAGTAATGTAGAAAAATAGCTCATTGTTTCTTGACAAGTGATAATATAACTTTCAATAAGAACTCCAACAAAATAAGAATTGAATATTCAAACTGATGCCATAGAAATGCACATTAAAGCAATAAAATGTGATTGCTTTACCCACTAGCTTGAAACAATTTAGAAAAGTTGATTACATCCAGTGTCAAAATTGTTGGGAAAAGGGCATACACTAACATGGTTGGCTGTATCTTATGGTAGAGTAATTGGGCAACATTTCAAAAAAATTAAGAATATGTACATTGCTTGGTATATCACTCCCACATATAGACATTTATCCTGTAGAAATAAAAAACATAATAAATACAGAAATATGTATCAGTATGTTAACTATAGGTTTGTAATAGCAAAAAATTGGGAAAGACTAATTGTTTACCCTCAGGGGAATGGTTATATGAATTATTCTGCATTTATACCATGAAATACTGTGCAGCCCTTCAAAAGAATGTGGTATATTTGCTTGGAGAACTGTCCATGATGATACTGTTAAATTAAAAAGCAAATTGTAGAACATTACAAAATGATCTTGGATTTGTAATAGGTTTTATTACAAAACTGGGACATATTTAGATATATGCTTGTATAAGACTGTAAAAAATGGTTTATCTTAGAGACAGTTTGAAGAAAGGAGGGAGAATGATGGAACTTGATACACCTCTGAATTTTATGCCTTTTTACAATGTGTGTAATATTCTCTGAAAAAAAAAAAAGCAAAGCAAAATAAAGCCACATAAATGTCTTCATTTTTTTATTTTTTATTTTTTAAGCCACTTAAAAAAAATAACCAGAGACACTGTTGAAGTATATGAATATTTAAACTTTGTTAGTCACTTAATTGTTATTCTGGTGCTTTCTTCACTTAGTGAGAATCTCTAAAAGGTATTTCATATAATAACCTCTTTTTATGTGGCATGTCACTCCACGACTCTGAAGGTGAGTGATGATATCTCAAGCAGACAGAGGGTTATGGCTTCAAGTAGAGTGGGAAACAAATATCCAAGAGCCAATAAATCCCTAAGCAACCAGGAGCCTGTTTTCATACAGATAGTCTTAGTCATGAGCACTGAGGAGTCTCCCGTCTTTCCTGAAAATCAGTGATATCAACAGATTGTTTTAAAGCATAGTGTTACTCTTATTATCTATGAGACATCAACAGCTAAAAGAGAAAATGTTTCTGAAAGTACAATCTGACCTGGATTGTGTACTTTCTAGCCCAGGGCACAGCAAAGTTTTGGAAGGCAGGTGATTGGATAGAAAGAATCTTGAGATTTTATTTTTGTTTGTGTGTTAATTTTTCCTATGGTCATGGGATGAGTAATTACTATTTAATATCATTGAAATCTGTATTTGTGTGAAATAGACATAGATAACACATTCTAATCTTTGATCTAAAGGTTTTCAAATGTCTACAAAAATAATCCTCTTATAAATCTGTAAGGGTTTTCTTTAGCGCTTTTAGTACTAATGTGTACTTAAAATTACTAAATATATCTGGAAGGTAAACAATAAAGTTCTAGTTATAGAAACTATTTTTTTATATCATGATAAATGTGTATACGTGTGTGTATTTTTCAGTCAGGGTCAAAGTACTCCAAATTCCTGTCTGAAGCTTTCAACTAAAGGTCTGTTTAACCATCCAAGACCTCAGATTAAAAAAAGGCAATGTAATTGAATAATTAAAGCCTAGAGAGTGTTACACAAATGTTTCTTTATGTATCTTTCTAGATAATTTCCTTTATGTACCTTTGGGTGATGTGAATTTGGTGTAGTTAAATATGAAATCCTACATGAGAAGTTATAAAGTCAATTGCATGAATGTAGAATGGTAATTACTTACCTTGGAACCACAGTGATGATCTTAACTGACCAAGCATGGTGGCTGCTTAATGAAACTGATACCACTTAGACAATATTAGGAAGAGAGGGATGTCAACACCAAGTCCTGTTTTTCACTAGTCAGATTACGTTTGTCTCCAGGCTTAGTTGTCATCATTTAGAGAGAATTGATGAACAGAGTGTATCTGGACCAGGCAGATCAGGATGGTGATGAGTCTTAAGCAATTTGAGGAATGTTTCAGGGCGGTCTCTGTCTACAGGGAGTTATGTGAAATCCTTCTTTGGGGCAGGCTGTGACTGTGGAATCCCTTTATTTGTATCCCTTTCTTTGTATCAAAAACAACAT